CAACATACAGGAAAATCACACAGTACCAGGAATCATGGCCTAGCCAAATTGATACACACATTTTTTGGGGGGACATAATTCAAACCATGACAACTGGTAAAACGCTAAATGAAAAAAAAAAAAGATGTATGTTGTAGAGATACGGATGCACCACTAAAAATGCAGTAATGGTTAACATGATTAAAATAATTGACAGTGCACCAAACCAACTTTCCTTGTTTTCTGATTCTTGTACTAATTCTTTTATCTTGAATGCATACTCCTCATTAATTGAGAAATAACATTTTACTTAACCGATAGCATGTAGACCTTTGCCTCTTCTGTGGTTTTTTTGATTCTTTCTGGCCAGAAGTTTTTAGTTGCCTCTCTTTCACATTTCTAAATTTCCCTCACTTCTCTCTTCTCTTTTTTCCACCTAGCTCCTTTTATCCTTTTATTCAGCTCAAGAAGTCTAGCCTTCATCTCCGTTCAGTTGTTCCCTTGACTAGTACCCATCCCTCCCAATCCCCTTGAAAAGTCCAACCTGAAAGCCAGAGTAGTCAAAGTTCTATGGCTGAGCAAGGTGTGGGGAATTTTGATTCACATCCAATTAACTAACTTTATTAGTTCTTGAAGATAGTCTAGTGCCCTTTTGAGCACTGTTCAGGACAGTGGACACTGTAAATCAAGAAATGGCTGAGAATCTTGCAACCAAAGAGTTGGAGCCCTGGGACACCATTTTAGGCATCTGCAAACAACAGCAACAACAACAAAATGGGATGGAAAATGAAAGAAGAAGAACAGAATGCGAGAACAGTAAAAGGAATCAGAAGTCAAAATTAGATGCCAAAACTCTGGTTAAGCCAACAGATGGTGACCAAAGAGAAGGAAAAATAAAATGATAGATACAGAGACAAAGTGTTACCAAGAAACTTGCTTCATCTTCATCATATGTATTTGAATATCTCCCTGTCTCTCAATTGGACCAAGTGCCTTAGGTACTACTGTCTTAAGCAGTGAAATTACCATAGTCTGGCCCTTCATACTTCAGTCTTCTTAATTGTATGGAAAAGAGAACAGGGAAAAGAGCACAATGTATAAATCACTGTTTGTCTTTGGACTCTGGTTTTCCATTCCAACTGCCTCAGCCTTGTTGTGCAGTGATGAAAGCTGCTTTTTAATGTATACCTGCATTAGAATCACTTGGGTTATTTGTTTGAAACGCAGTTTCCTGGTCACCTCACATCTTCTGAATCAGTTTCTGAGGTCAGGGACTGGGAATCTGCATTTCAGCTAACAACTACTGGTTTTCAGACAAGGTCACTATATAATTTGTTGTCTAATCTGGGACACTTTGGAGAGTGAAAGGGAGCACAGTTAATAATTACACCAAAGAAGTAATTACAACAGGCATAAACCAAGATGTATGGTCCCCCTACTCATGACTGTTGCAATAGATAGTTCTTTTCCAACTAAAGAGATAAAAGATGAGAGGGAAAATCGAACAAATACAATGTTCCCTTGTGAAAGTTAAGGCAGAACATATATGAAGCCTTATACAGGAGGCTATTGGAAATTTAGGTGTGAGGAATGCCAGGTAGTCACCACCTGCCTGGTTTGAAATAATCTCTTTGAACAGTCTATAAGAAAGAGCGGGACTGTATGGCTACAAAAAACAAAAAGGGAGCCCCTCCCTTACCCAGAAAAACCTGGGTTAACACGGTCATCTAAGATGAACCTATTGAGTGAATGATTTACCAGACAAGATGGATGGCATGGTGGGAGCACAGGAGCTTTTCCATCATGAATGGATGGAGCAGTATGGGATATTCAACCTTATGTTGTAGAGGAAAGTGGGAACGTAGGGCACTGGATCAGAAGCTTGCAGAGATAAGGCAGGGAGTGGTGAGCCAGTTTAAGCTGGTCGCTAGGATAAGGTCCAGACATTGTGCCAAATAGTTTCCTAAATTATTATATTTCGTCCACATAATTGGCTGTGGAGCCAGAACCCTCTTAACCACTGTCCAGTACCAAAGACATTGCTGTGACTTTGCTGCCATGTTCTGCAGTTGTTTCAGCATCATTCACAGGGCCGAGTTTGTGGTCTCTCATCACCACCATTGCATTCTTCCGGCTTTGTACTAATTCAGCATGGAAGGGTATGTAGTCAGAGATCTACAAGAGTGAAAACTTGCTAGTGATTAGGAACCTTATTTACTTAAGTAAAGATTTAAAACAGTGAGGAGCAAGCTAACACTTGTCCCTCTTTTTGCCACTTTCCTCAGGCAGATGTTGCTTATCATTTCTGCAGTTGGTGGCAGTGCTGACAGGGGCAGGGTGAATGTAACTGGAT